AATAATAAATAAATAAATAAATAAAGGCCCATGTGCTGAGGTTCATCTGATATGCTGAATTTGCCAAATATCCCAATAAGTTGGTTTGGCTGTTATTGTTTACTATTTAAAAGTGTTCAGCAACCCACATTGGATGAATCGGCAAGAACTAAGAGGCATGTAGTGATCCACAGCTCCAGGGTTCTGGGGTCTTCAGACTTTCCTGGCATTTGAGCCCCTCCCTCTGGGTCCATAACCAAGGCTGAGCTGTGTGCTCCTTTCCCCCATGGCTGGGACATTCTCTATGGTCAATCTCCCCCCAGGAGCATAATGGAGCTGGGACAGAGACAAACTAAACCCTTCTCTGATTGTATTAGGATGAGAAATGAAATGTTACCAAAATCTCAAAAATCAAACTATTCCATCTGATTAGAAAATTAAAAAGAAATTAAATCATTTTAAAAAGTATGTTTTTTGGAAAATAAGTACATTTGTAAAATAGATTAGTGGTTATTCAATAAAATTGCCAAATCCTTAAGATGTCAGGCTAGCCTCCATAGCACAGTGGTTAAGTGCTATGCATTGGGAGTTGGGTCCCAAATGACTGACTGCAGTTTGAATCCTGGAAAGTACAGCAGGCATGTGTGCATGCATGTCCAAAATGCTGATAGGAAGGAGAAATGGGAGACAAGGATTATGGTGAGACCACAGCATACTGAGGAGGATTTTCTTACTCTCTTTCTCTTCCTTGACCACGCATGCTCTCAGGCAATTAAAAAAAAAAATCCTTAAAATGTAAACTATTTGGCAAATCAGGAAAAAACTAAAAACATAGAAAATAGAAATCAGCATTTTAAAATTCCACATGAAATGCTGATATGTTGGCTATATGTATAGGAAGAATTGAAGAAAACTAATCCTTGATAGTTAACTTCCGACAAGTTCAATACTATTTAAAATAATGTTGGGATCAGCAGATGGCATAATGGTTATGTCACTGGACTCCCATGAACTGCAGTTTGAATCCCAGACCAGTGGCTTAAAACTCATGCCCAGCACATGTGCTTGTGTGCCCAAAATGCCAAGAAGAGAAGGGAGGAAAAGGGATTGTGGCATGGCCATCCCTCCTGGGGAGTGATTTCTCACTTTCTGTCTGTCTCTTGCTGGTGAGTACACATATCCTATAGCAAAAATCTCTCAAAAAATAATAATAATGAAAAGAATAATATACACAAAGAATATATTAAAAATAACATTCCAGATGAATATATTTAGAAGAGAAGCAAGGTATATTCATTGAATATGTACAAGAAGATTATCTGGAAAACAATTTTAGACAACTGTTCGATTTGGAAATTTTGGAGCCATGGTCAAGCCAGGGCGAATTGATCCTTTAGCTAGCTGACCTGGGCACAGTGGACTTGTCCCTGCCACAACTAGCCTCTGTCAAGGATGCAGCTAGTGTGGACTACGCCCCCGAAGCAGGGCCCAGAGAAGAATAAGGGTTATTGGCTTGAGTGATGTTAGATCACAGGGGGTCTAAGACAAGTTGGTAGGGCAGCAGAAGCATGACACAGGCACCTCCTTTCTCTGGAATTCCTGGGCTCCAGAGACATCCATTCGGTAAGTGCCCTAAGGCGTTATGGGACATAGCAAAGGACACTATCAGGAAGACCGCCTGTGGCCCACCCTGGCGGACTTAACCGAAGGCTATAGGTGAATTCCAGTCTATGGGGGAGCCAAACACCTACTCCGTCTGCTTTCTGGACTTAACCGAAGGCTGTAGGTGAATTCCAGTCTATAGGGGAGCCAAATACCTACTCCGTCCACTTTCTGACCTGCGTGAATGAAGGTTGGGCAGCCAGGCTGGTCTTGGCCTCCATTGACAAAGTAGTCCACGTGTCCAACAGGAATCCGAATACCTAAATCTGAGAGGAGGCAAACCCCATTAACTTCTTACTTCAGGGACATATTTTCTGGGGTCCTAAAGCAGGGCTCACGGGTAGGAGAGATGGAAGCCTGACCTCAGAGCCCACTTACTCTATGCCCGCCTTACTCCTAAGTGCCGTGAGACTGTAGAACTAGTCTTCGGTGTCCTAAAGGAATTTTTCTGTGCTGAAAGAAACTGAAGAACCAATTTAGAAGATAGATACACCTAATAAAATCAAGAAAAATATGCTTTAACACAAGTTTTGATATACCAGTAGGTGTTACAAACTTCGTGAATTTTCTCAACTAACAGCTTCTGTTTTCCTTCAAGCAAGATTTCAGATAAATATGGGGCTGGCAGGTGGTGTAGTCATTAAGGGCTCTGGACTCCCACATGGCTGACAATGGTTCAAGTCCCGAACCTGGCAGCTTTCTCACTTTCCCTCTCTCTCTCTCTTTCTCTCTTTCACTCTCTTGCTCTCACTTTCATTCTGTCCCTCTCTGGTCAAATTAAAATAAATAAATAAATAAATAAAGTTTAAAAAAAAAAAAAGAGTTCAGATAAATATGTTTTGGGCCACATTTCCAGGCTCTCACAAAACATATTTTTATGCTCTCCTGACTGAATGAAAATATGATGTGACTACAAAGAACTGAGTTTGAGAGAGAGACCATAGCCATCATGTCATTGAGATCATCTCAAGCCTTCCAGCAAGTCACCTCTGACCCCTCAGACTGGGTTGGGCCTAATTGCCAAAGATTCTGATTTTCTCCTTCAGGGTATCATCTATTGCTATTGCAAGAAGTTACCTTCATTATTTGTTTCATGTCACCTACCCAGAGACTAAGCATGACCTAAGGGCTAAACGGTGGCCTAGAAGCCATCTTAAACCCCTGCCTTTCCCTCATGCCCTACGCTCAGTCCATCAGATGTAGTCAACTCTACCTCCAAGATCTATTTTGAATATTTCCATTTCTTTCCATCTCTACTGCCATCACCTTTGCCCATGCCACTGTCATCTCTCACCTGGACCACTAATGGAGATGCCCTGTTGGGCCTCTAAGCTTCCCTAGTGCCCTCCCACAGTCCATTCTCTGCATAGGAGCCACAGTCATTTCAAACAAACAAACAGAAAGAAAGTCCTCACCCTGTTGTCATTGATCTTAGAATAAAATATGAACTCCTTTGCCGTGGGCCAGCCTGGACTGGCTCTCCCTCCTCCAACCTCTCTCAGTACCTCCTCCTCCTTTCACTGTAGATTGGTTTCTTCTGACCCTATTGAGATTTCATCTTTCAAGAACACACAGACCCTCAACCCTGTCCAGGCCTTTATGTTGACTATCCTCTCCACCTAGTATGTCCTCCCAAATCTTTCCTCGGATGATTCACTCTCACCCACAGAGTCTCACCTTCCGGGACAAGCTTTCTCCAAACCCTGTTTGAAGTAGGACCATCTGTCTGTCACCCTCTTCCTCAAATCCTTCTTTATCATAATCGCAATGGGGGATGGTCGTGTGTGCTCCCTGGATGTGAGCTCCACTACTGCAGGGCCTTTGCCTGTTGTTCTTGCTACGTCCTCAGCCTGATGCAGGACGTGCACACAGAAGTGCCTAATGAGTAGTGACTGAATGAGGAATAATAACGTGTCAGCTAGAAGCTCCACACAGGTGAGAACCTCATCGATGCCTTGTTCATTGCTGAGTTCTCAGTGCCTGCCACATAACCCAATAAATACTGATTGAATAAATGGAAATTTTTTTTAGTCACATGAGGAAGGAGTTTCAACTCTGAAGGGACTTGAGAAGCCTAACAGAGGGCCTTCACTCTGTTCATTAACAAGGTTAATTAACATGGCTAAGCAGAGGCCTAGGGGCTTTGGTTTCCTATCTGTGCAATAAACATAAGAAAAGAGAATTGGACAGTACAATGCACAGGTTTCTGCCAGAATCATGAGTCTGAGTCTTGGAAAGAAGGCTTCCGACCAAAAGCAATGAGACACGGGCATCTGTCTTGAACTGCAAGCTCTCCTGGTCAGGGACAGAGGCTGTTTCTCCTTGCCCCACCACACTGAGCACAATGCCTGGCACAGGCTCTGCGAGCATTTGATAGTGAGTAAAAATGAGGAGGATGCCACCCCTTTCTCAGTTGATCAGAGAGTTTAATGTGGTCATAATGGGCTCAGCATTTGGGAGGGTGTCTGTCTTGTGCCCGTCACTTTTGGAAAGGGGATTACTATTCTCCATGGACTGAAGGCCTGGGTTTCTCTGGGAAGAAGGGAAGTCCTGACGGGGCTGTGTGTCTGGGGAGTGGAATGCCCCAACCTCCTGGGACCAGGTATACTCATTTTGTAAAAGCAGCATGACTGTCCCATAATTCAGCCAGGCATCAATGCCCTTCCAGTAACACAAGGGTAGGTACTGAATCAGAGAGAGACTCTCATCTCAACCAAATATTTTTGGACGATGAGTGAGAATCCTCTCGCCTACTGGTAGCTAAAAAAAAAAAAAAAAAAAAAAAAAACCCACTCATCTCAGTGGTGGCAGAATGACAGAGCTGGAGGAGACTTTCAAAAACAACAGAAGCTCAGAGAGGGCCACACGACTTGATGCCAGCCTCTCAGCCCCGTCTTGTGCTCATTCCCTTGCCCAGTCGGGAAGGTCACACTCGCTCACTGTCAGTGTCTGTGTGGATGGCTTCCACAAACAGGGCGTCTCCGGGATCCAAGCGTTCCTCTAGGCTGGCTCTGGTATACTCTGGTCCAGCAGGGTCCAGGCCTGAAAGGACAGACTGACATCAGGGCCCCTTTCCTCTCAGCTGCAGGAACCCTCAGGGACCCATCACCCACATACACCCTGGCAACCCTTCCAGTTCAGGTCACAGAGACTTCCAACAAGGGCCCAAGGTAGGGGAAGCTGACTCAGGACCACCTTACCCGAGACGCCCCACCCCTGTTGTCTCTCTTGAGGTATTTTTCTCTGACTCAGAAATGAGCTTAAAATCACCATTGGGTAATATTATAATATTTTTCTTCATGTAGTATTAACCACAATAAGAACTTGTTGAGCAGTTACTGCATGCCAGAACAATGCAGTGAAATCGTGTCACTATTCCCACGTCTTAGTTCGGATCTCACCCCTCCTCCCCAGAAAAATAAATCCTGTAAAAAGGATTTAAGGTACAAGTTTATTTGGGAGAAGATTGCATGGCAAGGGAGGGGGAAGCAAATCAGGGAAAGAAAGAGGTCAGCAAGTGATATGGAGGTTAAGGCACTAGAGCCCACATGGCTAGCTTTGCAGTTCGAGTCCTGGATCTGGTGGCTTGAAAAATCACTCTGAGTGGAGACCAGCAGTTGGCATAATGGCTATGTTGCTGAATTCCCATGTAGTCGACCGCAGTTTGAGTCCCAGACCTGGTGGCTTAAACTCACGCTGGGCGTGTGTGCCCAAGATCCCGAGAGGAGACTGGAGGAGAAGGGATTGCAGCATGGCCATCTTCCCTGGGGGGGTGATTTCTTGCTTTCTGTCTCTCTATCTCTCTCTGTCCTTCTGGCAAGCACACGCGCCCTATAGCACAAACCTCTCCCCTGCCCCCCCTTCAAAAAAAAAGAAAAATCACTTTGGGTGTGTGTACATGCATGCCCAAAGTCTCAAGAGAATGGAAAAGGGATTTTAACGTAGCCATCCCCCTGAAGAGTGATTTCTCACTTTCCCTCTGTCTCCATCTCCGTCTCTCTCCAGCAAACACACACGCACAATAGCAAAAACTAAAAATATAAAAATAAAAATAAAAAAACAGAAAAGAAAAGAAAGTATTAATGAGTGGGCTATCACTATGGGCAACAGGGACTCTTCCCACTGGGACCCACTGAGAAATTCTGTAAAACATGACTCAGAATTGTCCCAGCAACAGGCCAGGAAGCACAATATTTACCACACAACACTGAGTCCTTCCTGACTGAGGGGGATCTCCTGAAACATACATGTGCAGGTATTTAACAAAACTGAGTAAATGTGATTTTCTCAGTAGGCCAAGGAGATATGGATTCTGTGACCATTTTACAGGTGTAGGAGCTGAGGCTTTGGAAAAATACATGACCTCTTACAGTGATATTAGAGACCATGCAATAACATGATACCATTGTATGCAAAACCACCATGGTAACTAAATGTTGGTGGTGATAGATGGTTTGATCTTATGAACAAAGGCTCAATATCCTGTTCTGATTGGATGGTTTGATCTTATGAACAAAGGCTCAATATTCTGTTCTGACAGCCTAGGAATTGGCATTTCCGGGACATTCTCTACATCAACTCTGTGGGAACAGGCAGGGAGGAAGGTTACCTGTGATTCGTCCCAACTGGCCCTTGTAGAAATGTCCCACCATGCCCCCAACGTGGGCCCCCAGGCTAACACCAATGACGTGGATCGAGGACTTCGGCACACCCAGAACCTAGAAGGGGAATCATCAGTGAGTTTTACTGTGGCCACGGCAACCCTGGCCGCCCAGCCACCCACATTGCCCGGTAGCTTCTGAAGCTGAAGGCCTTGAGCGTGACACACCCACCACACGCTTTGGAAAGTAAGGGCAGAAGTCTCATCTGTGGGTCACTCACTGTTGTTCTGGGCTTCCCCACCCTGATAATCCCCTCATTTTCCTTTCAGTGCCTAGCCCTACCCTCCTGAAAGACTACTAAATGCCAGGCAACCCACACTCACTGTCTGATATGCAATCATACCTTTTTTTAAAAAGGAATTGTTTTAATTAATTTTATTCATTGTCATTTTTTTTAATGTTTCTGAAGCTGACTAGAGAGAGACAGGGAGAGAGAAGGAAAGTGAAAAAGCAAGCTGCCAGGTCCAGGAATCAAACTGCAGTCAGCTGTGTGGAAGTCCAACCACCTTAACCACCACACCACCTGCCAGCCTCTCAATGGCACGTTTTGCAGAAGATAAACAGGAGGCTCAGAGAGGTTCAATAACCTGGCCAATGCCCTCACGCCACGTGGCCAAGTCAAGATTTGAACTGAAGTCCAACAAGCCACTGGTTGGCTCTGCTTCCATCCTAAACCCCCACCTGCAGCACTTTCTCCTTTCAGACCCCTCTCTCCTCAAGAAGCAAAAAGTCACCCTGAACGATTCTGCACCTACCAGGAGTTTGTGGAGAAAACGGGAGATCTCAAGGCTCAGCTTCACCACATTGTCCACAGCTGAGAAGTAGACCGCTGTAGACCCGTAAACCCAGTCCACGGCAACCACGTTAGCATCTGCTACACGCAGAAGGGCTCTGATGAATTTATCAATCCAAGAAGGCTTTGTTCCTAAAGCCCTAGACATGGAGCCAAGAAAAGATAGGAAAATTATCTGCCAAGCTGACATCCATTGTCATGGAACTCTCCGTTATCCCAAATCTAGGAGAAAAGTCACAACTACAAAAGAGGGGACACGAGGAGTAGATCACACAGCTCTTTCAGCATAGAGGGGACAGCATTCCAGAGTTGCCAGGCTTCCGGCAGGAACACATGGAGCCTTTGTGTACATTATAAAAGGCCACCTTTTGGGACCAGGGCATTCTCTGCATAATGGTTACATTGCTGGACTCCCATTAGTAGATCACAGTTCGAGCCCTGGACCTGGAAACTTAAAACTCACACCAGGTGCATGTGCATGTGTGCACAAAATCCTGAGAGGAGAATGGAGGAGAAGGGATTGCAGTGTGGCCATCACTCCTGGGGGGTGATTTCTCACTTTCTGCTTCTCCATCTAGTGCACGTGCTCTATAGCAAAAATCTCTCTCTAAAAGAAAGAAAGAGAGAGAAAGAAAGAAAGAAAGAAAAAAAGAAAGAAAGAAAGAAAGAAAGAAAGGGAAAGAAAGAAAGAAAAAAGAAAGGGCTGCCTTTGTTTTAGAACAAGCAACCTCATGTTAGGTCAGATTTTGGCCTCGCCAGCCTTCAGTCAGACACCCTTGTACAAGGCATCAACTATATAAGCCTTGTGTACTGTGCTGCCTCTGTGTTATTTATAGAAAATAAAAAGCTAGCCAGCCTGTGGACTGGTGGTTAAGGCTACTGGATCCCACATGGCCAATCACTAGTTGGAGTCCTGGACCAGCAGTTTGAGAAACATGCTGGGCACATGTGCATGCATGCCCAAAACCCCAGCAGGAAGAAAAGATGGGGGAGAGAGCAGTGTGGTGTGACAATGTCCCATTGGGGGTGCTTTCCTGCTCCGCTCTCTCTCTCTCTAGTGAGTACACACACCTTCTGGCACATTTAGAAAAGATAGCTTTTGGGACCAGCAGGTGACATGGTGGTTAAGGGTGTTGAACTCCCACATGGCCGACAATGGTTTGAGTCCTGGACCTCATGGTTTGCTTTCTCACTTTCCCTCTCTCTCTCTCTCTCAGTCTGTCCCACTCTGGTCAAATTTTAAAAATAAATAAATAAATTAAAGTTAAATATAATTCTATTTTAAAAAGATAACTTTTATTCTAAAGTCAAGATTACTATCTAGTTTTTTAAATATATAACATCTTTTAAAATGTCTGTTTATTTTATTCATGATAGAGAGTGAATGTGCACAGAAGAGAGAAAGAAAGAGTACACCCTTTGTGGGGTCTTATACTGCGATTTTTTTTTTCCCTGGCTCTCTAGCTTGTCAAGCTCTTGTGTGTACGTGCTCATCATATTTTCAAGTTATCTGGGGATCTGAACCCACAGCTGGCCATGTGGCTTCCAGTACTGCAGTTCAGTTTGCTACTGACTGTACCACCAGGCTGGCCAACGGTTTGCAATCTTAATTCTCATACTAGAATATAGGCTTGCTTCTTAAGGAAGTTTTCATTCATTCATTCTTTCATTCATTCAACAAACACATAGTGAGGGCCTACGGGCACTGTGCTAGGTACTTTCCAAGAAATAAAGATAGCAGGATACAGTTCCTATCCTTCTGGAACTTACCATATAGTGGGACTTTTTTAGACAAAGGAAAATGATAGAAAAAATTTCAGACTATTTCCCAGCAGATTGGAATTAGGAAAGACGTTTTCTTGATGGCCCCTACATAGGAATGGTGAAAGAGTGCTCTTTGGACAGAGGGGCACAGACCGGGTGTGTGCTGTGGAACGTGGTTTGGGGGGCTTAGGAACAGACAGTGACTGCCCGATGAGCTGGACTCAGCCACAGATGGGCTGAGTGTAAGGTTTGCTAGAGGACAGACTGGCACAGAGAAGAGATGCCTGAGAGCGTAAGGAGTCCAGGGGTCTGAGAAACAGAGAGGCCCGAGATCAAGAGAAGGTGGTCCTCGGTGTGGCGCCTTTGTGTCCCATCGTTGGAAGCACCGATGGTAGCACTCCCTGCTCCATATTGCCACTGTTTCACCAGACTCCGTTCCTCCTTCCTTCCAGAAACCTTTCTCTGTTTCTGGCCTTGTCAGCAGGCTATTGAGAAAAGATGTTGGAAGGGGAGATGGTGAGTGCATGGAGTCTCGGTGACTACGAATTACAACATTTGGATAGTGGGGTATCAGAAATGACTGAAGAGAAGGGACCAGCTCCTAAGAAATGCTAACCTCTCTGAGTATGATGGAAGTAGCACCCATAAATGGAAGTTACTTGGGCATGAAGCTAGGGAAGAAGCAAAGAAGAGAAGATAGAACTGTGGGTAGAAACGCCATGTTGTTACCCCCGAGTCCAGAGTGACTGTGCAAGGCCTGCAACCTCATTGTCTGAGATGAATCACTTCATGCAATCCACACTGCAGGTGAGACCATCCCTACATTCTCCCCTTTAGTTCAGATATGGAAAGTGAGTCTCCATGCATCGAGCGACTCATCCAGGGTCACATATATGTGCTGTCTTTGAGTGTGTGGACAAGACTGAGGGACTTATGCATATGACCGCCAAGAATGAACAACGTGATATGTGTGCACAGTGATGTGAGACACCTTTCAAGACAGCAAGATGTGAGGAATAGAACTCGTGAGGTAAGTGATTCCATTCCTCCTTCCTCCTTCCTCTTGATCCTTATCAACTTCCTATGGTGTTGCAGGCACTCTATAGCCCTTATCTGAGGAGTTCCTATTGGTTGGTCAGCTCCCACCTGAATCCATGGATAATTAGCTTGGTTCCCAGAGAGGCATTGAACCCGGAGTTCTGGATGTCACTGCTTTCCTCCACTAGCTGCCCACAGCTGGGGTCTGAAGGGGTAAAGAGGAGAAACTGGACTTGGAGGTTGGTGCCTCGGAGAAGGTTGGCATTCTGGAAGTCGGTGCATTTGGGCTGTAGGGTAGTCGGTGCATCCCCTAGAGGAAAACAAAGCAAGAGAATCCAAGGTCAAGTCAGTTTTTATAAGGAAGATGTTCTTGGAAGGAAAAAGCAGAGGCTTACAGCAGGGGGTTATTATAAAAAGCTGGTACAATAATCACTCACTTATGAAGGTTACATCACTTCTTAACCAAAATCCATGAATGTTTTTCAGGCCTAAAGATAAAATACCAGAGAATGTCCATTTGCTCCATAGAGGGGATTGAAGGGTTTAGCAAACTGGCTATTGTTATGAACTAGAGGGAGTCCTTTGCCCCCACCCTCATTCATATGTTGAAGTCTCAACTCCCAGTATCTTATAACACGCCTGCATTTGGAGACATACCTGTTCTTTGTTTTGTTTTTATTTTGTTGTTCTGTTTGTTTGTTTGTTTGTTGAGGGAAAGTGAGAAATCACCCCCTAAGGGGATGGTCATGCTGCAATTTCTTCTCTTCCATTCTCCTCTGAGGACTTTGGGCGCACACACACACATACACACTCATAGCAATTTTTAAGGTATTGGATCTGGGTCTAAAATTGTACAGTTGGCCATGTGGGATCCAGGCCCCTTAACCTCCACACCACCTGCTGGCATCTGTATTTGGAGACAGGGTCTTTATAAAGATTATTAATTTAAAATGAGGCAACCAGGGCCCTAATTCAATATGACTAATGTTTTTATAAGAAAAAGAAATCTGGACACAGACAAAGGAAAGGTGATGTGAAGAGACGTGGAGTAGGTGATCATCTACAAGCCAAGGACAGAGGCCTGTAATGAACCCTTCTTTCATGGCCCTCAGAAGAAACCAACCCTGTGAGCCCCTTGATCTCAGACTTCTGGCCTCCAGAACTGAGAGACAGTACATTCGTTATTTTGGCCACCTTTTCTGGGCACTTCCTATGGTAGCCCTAGCAAACTAATAGAAACTTACAAAACAAAAACAAACAAACAAACAAAAATTCCGGGTAACTGAATGAACAATTGCTCTGGGGACTAGGCTCGAAAACTTCTCCCCTCAGAGTCCTTCAATGAAGCTTTGAACTGCTTGAGGCCTGGAGCTGCCTAATTCATGAATCATTGTTGGCTTAAATGCATTCATTAAAATTTTAATGACACTAAATTTACTTTCATTTTTCCATTACCAGAGAGTATGTGCTCTCACAGAGTGAAAGAGATGGAGAGAGAGGGAGAGAGCACCTCCATTGGGGCATGGTCATGTCACAATCCCTTCTCCTTTACTCTATCCTGTCAGGATTTGGGGCATGCATGTACATGCACCCGGCATGTTTCTTAAGCCACTGAGGTCAGGATTAGAACCACAGTCAGCCATGTGGGATCTGGCTTCCTTAACTACTAGGCCATAGTACTTGTCTAAGTATATCTTATTTTATTTTATATATATTTTTCCATAGGACACATGTACTCACCAGAGAAAGAGAGAAAATGAAAAATCACCACCTTCCCCCAAGGAAGGATGGCCTTGCCACAATCCCTTCTCCTCCATTCTCCTCTCAGGATTTGTGGCCTACACACGTGTGCCTAGTGTGTTTTTCAGGCTGCCAGGTCCAAGACTCCAACCACAGAGTCGGCCATGTGACTTCCAGTGTCTTAAACATCACACCACCTGCTGGTACCCAAGTTTATCTTTAAACAGGAGTAAATATATAGCCTTAAATGCAAATAGTAGAGGGGGAAAGGGAAAGATTTAAATTGGGTAAATCTTTTAACTCAGATAAGAACAGAACAACTCTGTAAAATACAGGGGTAAATATGTAAGGGTAATAGTTAAAACTAGAAAAAAAAACAGAAAACAATGAAATATGAATGACATTGTTAGCAATTCAGTCCTTGTAGTTTCTCAGGCCAGGCTTCCTGGAGTCATCTTTGGTTCTTCCTTTTCTCTCACATCCCACACAGAAATGGTAAGTCCATCCCGTTGGCTCTACTATTCGAATTAAATATTCAGAATCCAACCATTGTCACCACCTACATGGCTACCAACTTCATGCAAGCCACCATCATCTCTCAAAATCAACACTTAATCCATACCTGCTTTTCTTGCCTTCACTCTGGTTCCCTTCGGTCTATTTGCAATACAGTAGCCACAATTATCCTTTTAAAAAAGTAAATAAATGGTGGGGGCCAGATGGTGGTGCAGTGGTAAAATGTGATGCTCTGTGAGTCTGACTCACAGGGGATTGTTCTGGGTTTGTGTCTGGAGATCTCCCTCAGTGGCCCAGGCATGCCAGGCATGTGTGTGCCATGACTGGAAGCCGACTGAGGCTGGAGTTCTCTCTCTTTCTTTCTCTCTATAAAGAAATAATAAATCTGGGGCCAGCATGTGGTGTGGTGGTTAAAGGCGCTGGATTTCCACATGGTCCACCATGGTTCGAGTCCTGGACCTGGGGGGTTGTTTTCTTGCTTTCCCTTTCTCTCTGTCTCTGTCTGGTAAAATTAAAAATAATAATAGCAATTGGAATTAAATAAATAATTTCGGGACCAGCAGATGGCATATTGTTTAGGTCGCTGGGCTCCTATGTGGTCAACTGCCGTAGTTCAAGACCTGGACCTGGTGGCTTACACTACACCGGGCGTGTATGTGTGTGTTTCCCAGATCCTGAGAGGAGAATGGAGGAGAAGGGATTGCAGCATGGCCATCCCCCCAGGAGGTGATTTCTCGCTTTCTGTCTCTCTGTCTCTCTATGTCTTTCTGGCGAGTGCATACATCCTATAGCAAAAACTTCTCCAAAAAATAATAATACTTGCTTACTCCATGCCAGCTCGTGTCCTCCTTGCTCTTCCTGCCTGGGGATCTTTGCACTGACTGTTCCTTCTGCCTGGAACGTTTTCCCCTTAGCTTTCTACATGGCTTTCCTTCTTCAGGTCTTTACTTGTCAAATATCACCTTCTCTGCTCTAGCTACCCTCTTTAAATTGTAACTTGCTTATGTTCCTCATCCAGGTTCTCTTAATAGGCCTTACCCTGATCTATTGGGCCATCAGAAAAATCATGATGCATTTTTGCATAGAAAAATACATCATGACTTTTCTAACGACCTAATAGTTGTTTGTATAGCAATCATCTTCTTTTTCTTTTAAAATTTTATTTATTTATTCATTTATTTTAAATTTGACCAGAGACACAGAGAGAGAGAAAGAGAGAAAGTGAGAAAGCAAGCCGCCAGGTTCAGGACTTGAACCGTGGTGAGCCATGTGGGAGTGTCCAGCACCTTAGCCACCATGCCACCTGCTGGTCCCCAAGCAATCATCTTCTAATTAACAATCATCTACTAATCTACTACAGAATTTATAATTTCCTGTGCTTACTGTTTATTGACTGTCTCCCCACAACAGAATATACTTGTGAACAAGGCAGGGACTTTTACTATTTTGTTCAGGCTACTGCCTAGAATAGTGCCTGCCACATACAGTGAAAGAGTTAAATGTTCCCTGGGTACCTTCAGGATTAGAAAGGGTTAACTCAGTATCTCACTTGTGCTGTAGGTTTTGTTTTTTAATTATTTATTTAATTTTATTTATTCATTAATTTATTTTAATTTGGTCAGAGAGACACAGGGAGAGAAAGAGAGTGGGAAAGTGAGAAAGCAAGCCACCAGGTCTGGGATTTGAGGAGTGTCCAGTGCCTTAACCACTATGCCATCTGCTGGTCTGAAGAGTCCACTCACAACTCCCAGGTGCTTCAGACATTCTTTCTCCTCCTCCCTTTCCCACCACAAATTAGCTGGTCCTTTCTTGACTTCATTGCAGATGGCTGACCTTGTATTTTCTAAGTTCTTGCCTTCAGACATAAAGATTGTAACATCTGTCTACAATTGGCACCAAAACTAAAAACAGACTACAGCAGCCAGATATGATACCCAGAGATAACAAAACAACCCAAGGACCACCAGATGTCCTGTCCCAGGATCACACTAATTACCCCACTGTAACACCCCCTTTCCTAAAGTCCCAGTAAAAGCTCCTCCCTCCACCCTTCAGGGCCCCTTTCCTCTCTTGAAAAGTAAATAAACCTTTTTTATCTGCTTTCTCTCTCAGTTTATGAGTTTTTTCACAACCCACAACAAAGACCACTTTAACATACAATAAACCCCCAAAACAAGTTCTTTGAAAAGAATAATAAACTAGATGTACTTTTGATAAGATGAAGAAAAAAGGAGGAAAATGACAAGTAAACAATATCAAGAATAAAAGGAGGATGTAAATATTGACACAGTGGTGTTTTTCAGACCATAAAAGCACATGTTTATACCCACCCAAAAGTTAAAAATATGACTATTTCCCTGGAAAATGAATAACTTCATAGAAAAAGTAAAATTTCCCAAGAAAGAAAAATCAGAAAGTCAAATGTAAAACTGTAGTATAAAGGAATTGAAACAGTAATTTTAAAGTTAGCCATCAAAATTTCTTAAAAAAAAAAAAAATTCTCGGGAACCAGCAGTTAGCGTAATGGCTATGTCGCTGGACTCCCACGTAGTCGACCGCGGTTCGTGTCCCGGACCCGGTGGCTTAAAACTCACGCCGGGCGCGTGTGCATGCGTGCCCAAGATCCTGAGAGGAGAATGGAGGAGAAGGGACTGCGGCGTGACCATCCCCCCTGGGGGGTGGTTTCTCGCTTTCTGTCTCTATGTCTCTCTCTGTCTGTCTGGCGAGCGCACGCGCCCTACAGTGAAAATCTCTCCAAAAAAAAAAAACAAATTCTTAACAGGCCAGATTTTTTTATTTATTTATTTATTTATTTTTTTTTTTTAGGGTTTGCTATAGGGAATGCACTGTAGAGGGAGAGGAGGAGAGAGAGGAAAAGTGAGAAATCACTCCCTCAGGGGGGATGGCCACACCACAATCCCTTCTCCTCATTCTCCTCTCAAGATTTTTGAGTGCGCACAGGCACCCCACGTGAGTCTCAAGGCACAGGGTCTGGAACTCCAACCCGGTGGTCAATCATGTGGGATCCAGCACTCTAACCCACCACCTACTGGA